AATATTCCAAAGAAAGAGAAATTCCCTATCAACCACAGGAAACTTTTCCCAAAAGGTGTCAAGGTTGCTGAGAAAGGAAAGACTGTCATTATATCTATAAATTTCATTTTGCCGGTCTTAAATTTTTTTCAGCTACCTTTAGATTTATTACCCACTCCCACCCCACCAAAAAAAGGAAAAATGTCACTCAGGGGTCGGAATGGGGACAAGCTGGGAGAAGGGCATGTTCGGAAGGTAGCATCCCACTTACTAAGCTAAATGAGACTATAGAGGGCCCAGTCTGCCTTCCAGTAGCATCCATATCCTAAGGCTGCATGACACATACTCTACATAACCCAGAAATGTCAGACCTTTTTTCAGGCTACCAGTAGGGTTTTGTTGCAGAAGTTTTCTGGCTTTTTCCTTTTATATTTAAAATCTTTCTCATGTGGTATGATTGCTAAGACTATCAGGAGGAAAAACAAATGCTAAACCAAAGATAATGCACAGGAAGAGATTAAACCAGTAAATTAGCTTGAAGGACTTTTCTGTATTAAGTAGAAAGCATGCCAAGTAAGTTGCTGGAAGTCTTAGTGTGACAAATTTGGCTTGATTCCTTTTGGTTGCGCATACAGGAAGCACTACATAGCGCTGCTTCTAAGCCATACAACTTTAGACCATTTAAGACAGTTATTAAAACTAGGCTAACTAAAGACAAGAAACAAAGCTCAGATTTTTATCAAACTTTAGAGATTACAAACTTTTGAACACTCAACTCGTACATTAATGACATCACAGACCTAAACGTTTAAGCTTCAAAAGAGAAAGATAAGAAACATCTCATTTTCGAATGCACAGATTTTCTTTTAATATAAATCTTTAAAGCTCCTTTCAAACAAAACAGATACATTATAAAAGCCTAATATTATTGGTATAAAAAATTACTAAACTACTGGAACCTTTATCCATTGCTAGTGGATTATAAAATGGTACAGCTGATGTGGAAAACAGTTTGGCAGTTCCTCAGAAAGTTAAACAAAAATATCCTAAGATCCAGCAAATCCACTCCCAGGTATATACCCTCACGACTTGAAAGCAGTAATGCAAACAGATACTTGTACAACAATGTTCACTGCAGCACTATTCACAATAGCCAAAAGGTGGAAACCACCTAAATATCCATCAATAGATGAACGGATAAACAAAATATGGTACATACATACAATGGAATATTACTCGGTCATAAAGAAAAATGAAGTTCTGATACACGCTACAGCGTGGATGAACCTTGAAAACATTACACTGAGTGAACTAAGTCAGACAAAAAAAGGACAAATATTGTATGATCCTACTTACATGAAATATGTGGAATAGTCAAATGCACAGATCAAAGTTTATTAGAGGCTACCAAGCGGTTACCAGGGTCTTTGTTATCTAGTGCTGCTGTAACAGAAATACCACAAACGGATGGCTTTAACAAAGAGAAGTTTATTGTCTCACAGTCCAGTAGGCTAGAAGTTCAAATTCAGGGCGCCAGCTCCAAGGGAAGGCTTTCTCTCTCTGTCGACTCTGGGTGAATGTCCTTGTCATCAATCTTCCCTTGGTCTAGGAGCTTCTCCACGCAGGAACCCTGGGTCCAAAGGACATGATCTGCTCCCGGTGCTGCTTTCTTGGTGGTATGAGGTCCCCCGTCTCTCTGCTTGCTTCTCTCTTTTATATCTCAATAGAGACTGGCTCAAGACACAATCCAATCTTGTAGATTGAGTCCTGCCACTAATCTTATCTCATCAACATCAGAGGTAGGATTTACAACAAATAGGAAAATCACATCAGATGACAAAATGGTGGACAATCACACAACACTGGGAATCGTGGACTAGCCAAGTTGATACACATATTTTTTGGGAGGACACAATTCAATCCATGCCAGGGAGTTACTGCTTAAGGGGCACTGCGTTTCTATTAACCGTGATGAAAAAAATCCAGAAACAGCGGTGATGACTGCACAACATGATGAATGTAATTAACGTCACTAAATGGAACACGTAAAAAATGTTGAAATGGCAGATGTTTTGTTATATGTATTTTTACCACAATTAAAAAATTACTATTTTAACCATCTTACAAGGTTAGTTTGACCACAGCTTTATAGCAGTAACTTTGTATTAAAGCATAATACAAATAAAGAAGAATGTACCTACAAAAAAAAAAAAAAAACTTACTAAACAGTTTCTTTCCAAGAAGTTACATGATCAGTCAAGTACTCTGAAGTAAGCTTGAAAGTGATCATTTTAAAAGAACCCCCAAGAACATTTTACCATTTCAACAGCTAAATAAAAGTCACTGAAAAAAGAAAAATTAAACATATAATGAGTGATTGCATATTTATCTGTAAAATGTCAAATATATCTGCCGTGCCTACTATTCCAGAGTCCCTGGGTGGGAGTCTAAACCTACTTCATCCATCAAGTACTAGTAACCTTATACCATAATACAAATCACCAATGCTCACTGAGCTCTGTTTTCTTATTCAGAAAGTGACAGGATCACACTAAAAGAGATCTGAAGTTCCTTTCGGCTCTGTTACTATGATAAGTAATATTTCACACTTGTTCTTAGTTGCCACTGAGTCAGCTCCGACTCATGGATATCTCATGTGTAACAGAACGAAATGCTGCCCAGTCCTGTGCCATCTTCATGATCATTTTACACTTAAATTACTGCTATTATCGATAAGCAACACTCCACATTACTAAGTAGTCTCACTATAAGCTGGCAGTCCCAAATGGATGATACCCCACCTTTTCCAATTAAACTGATATACTACTACCTTTGTAGGCCTGTTTACTGACCTTTGACGTATGCAAAGCACTGCTGCATATATCTTCAGGGTGGGTCAATGATTAAATGAGAGTCACATTTTATCCCTTATTTATCATACTAGTGAAATGAAGTTCAGATTAAGTCATTTACTAACAACTCACAGCTGATAAGAGTAAGAGCTGGATGCAGAAAGCACGTCTTCAAACTCAGTCCAGTGCTCTTTTCAATTAGGTATTGTGGAATGTCTAATATGGAGATGAAGGGAGTCCTGATGGCACAGCGGTTAAGTGCTTGGCTGCTAACCCAAAGGTTGTGGTTTGAACCCACCAACTGCTCCGCGGGAGAAAGATATGACAGTCCGCTTCCGTAAAGAATTACAGCCTTGGAAACCATAGGGGAGCTATGAGTTGGAATCAATTCCACGGCAATGGGTTTGGTTTCTTGGTAAATATGGAGATGTAACAGAGCAAATTCTCACTAACATACAATTTGCTGTGGTAGAAACAAAGGCAGTCATCAAATCCAACACATTTACTAAACCACTAGGCACTCTTCTTTCTGGGTGATAGGGATACAGCAATGAACAAAAGAAAAATCCCTGGCCTCATGGAGCTTACATTGTTTGTGGGTGGGGAAGATCTCAGGGCATATTATAGAATTAGGTGCTATGGAGAAAAAAGAAGCACAGAAAGGGGATAGAGAGCATGCATTTGGCAATCTGCAGATTTTCTTCTTTTAAGCCAAACTAGATGCCATTTAAAGAACTACAACAGTAATGCATCTGAAGTAGTTTTCCTAAGCTTTTCCCTCAACAGGGAACATTCTGGATACTGGGAAGATCTGGCCTGATGATTCCAATTTGATATTGATTGTTCAAACCCCTGAACAGCCAGCTAGGAAGCTGTTTGTCACATTAGCAAAACTCAATCGAAAGGTGGGGGCTTTTTCTCCCCATGTTTAAATCCACAAAGGAAGACGGCAAATGGGTTTACAAAAGAGAGCCACGAGAAGTTACAAGACCACTTGAACTGTTTCTGAGTTAGTACAAATGTCTCCTAATGCAAAGCTTAAAATGTAGTTTGTGTGAAGTTCCGCTAGGACAAAGCAGTAAGAATACAGTACATATCATTTTGCTTTTTTTGACCTGTCAATTCTAATGACATTCTCTACCATTAATGTATATCCAACTAGCTTACCAGACAGTTTCTGCAGCTTTTGTTAGCATTTTTAAATTATTATTATAAGAGCACCCCAGTTTGCAAGAAAATTGCTATAAAAAAAGATACCAGTCTCCTGCAAAACCTGATACACTTGTATAAACACTGCCTTAACAACCTATAATTAACCTGGTTAGTTGAGCTGGTAAATCAGGTTAAGCTTTGTTTTCCTCAAGTTTAAAAATGACCTTTTAGTCGCTAAAATCTCATGATTCTCGGGGTTGGAACTGCATCATGAGAATGACAGTAAGTCTTTCTTAATTCGCTACACTTTTAACATGTGTCTATAACATACAGCCCTTCCTTTAAACGGAGTTTCCACAAGAGAATGAGAGTCACGTTTGACAGGCGTTCAGACCTCCACCTTCGGGTCGAATTACCTATCCTAAGAAGAAGATCCAATACGGTTTCCCGCTTCTCACACCCCGCGAGAACGTGTCTGTTTTGACTTGGCGAGGAAGGGCGCTCTCCGGTCCCGTTCGCAGCGCCCAGCCCTGCCCGAAGTGGATCTGCAGGCAAACCGCCGGCAAACTTCGGCAGGGATCCGCAGGCTGGGCCCAGGCAAGGGGGCGGCCCTTCCCCGTGCGGCCCCGCCCTGCCCACGGGTGCGGGTCCCGGGCCGGCCCAAGACGGCTCTGAGCAGACTCAGTGACTCAGAGGCCCGGGCGACCGCGACAGCGGTGGGATCATGACGAGGAGAGAGCGGGGGGGTCGCGGTCCGGGTCTGGGTCAACTCCGAGGGAGCGCAGGGATGCCGCGGAGAGCATGGGCCCAGCCCAGAGGCGGTCGGACCGACAGGACTGTCCCGAGGGGCGCCGGCAAGTAGGGCCCGGCCCGGGGTGTCTGCCTGGAGGGACAGGTGGCTGAACCGCGGCTAAACAGACCCCGGCGGGTGGAGGTGACCAGGGGAGCCGGGGACACGCCCGCCCCGCCCTGTCCCCGGGCTCCAGGCAGCGCAGCCCCGCCCGGCCCCGTCCTCACCTGATGTATGGGCTGGCCGCCGCCAAGATGTTCTTCTGCACCGGGATCTCCTCCCCGTCGAGGACCAGGTGCGCGTCGCAGAAGCCGGACTCCTCGCGAAAAGAGCTGAGCGCTCGCAGCAGGCGCGCGGCGTGCTGAGGGTCAGACACCGCACTGCCCTCCGCCATCGCGCCGCTGCTACCGCCGGCCTGCGCCGCCCTCTCCTCAGCCCGCCGGACCCCTCGCGCCCACCGGTGCCCGGCGCACGCCTCGTCCGCACCTCCTGCCCGCGCGCCCGCCCGCCGGGCCAGACTCTCAACCCTCGGAAGACCGGCGGGAGCCTCAGGAACGCGCCTGCGCCATCCACAGCTCGCCGGGCTGGAGCCTTTAAGAAGCCGTGGTGTTACGTCATTTCTCTGCGACGCCCCCGCTCCCTTCTTCTCCTCCCTCTCGCCCTCCGTCGCCGGAGGCAGCCAATCAGAAGCCTCCTTCCTACTCGAGAGCGGCCCGTTGCTGCTCCGAACCCTCAGAGTGCTGTGGGTAGAAGTCGAGGGCCGAGAGTGATTACTGCAGCGCTGGAGGGGTGTACAGGCAGGCTAGAACTCTGTGGTTAAGCGCGTGGGCTGTGGAGCCGGCGTGTCAGAATTCGAATCTCAGCTCTTCCGCTTACGAGCTGTGTGGCGATGGGTAAGGTGCCCATCCTCAATTTCTGTATATGCAAATGAAGATGATGACTTCTTAGCATTGTTGTGTTAGATAACGCATGTGAAGCAAGGGATCAATAGGAGTAGCTTGCATTATTTATGAGAGAAGAGTTTATTAGGTAAGAGCACGAAGGCCTGAGAAAGCAGGGCCTGAAAAGAGCATTTTGGTTGCATGGTAGGGAGAAGAGGTAGCAAATGAAGCTGGAGAAGTAAGCAGGGGGCCTTAGATTGTGAAGGGCTTCTTTGGCTGTGATAAGAAAATTGGTCGTGATCCTGTAGGTGTTGGGAACCATGGAAGAGTTTTATAAAGACCGCTCAGCTGTTGTGTGGAGAATGGAGGTGGAGGGCGGTAAAGGCGAAAAGATGGTTGGATATTACAGTACTTGAGGGAAAGGACTGGTGGCCTAGATGAAAGAATGATGATGGAGGTGGGTAAAAGTGGACGACTTAAAAGGATAGACAAAATTTTGAGGGAAGGAGAATCCAAGATAATGTTCTGAGTTAAGTGACTAACTGTGTAGATGTTGGTACCTTTCAGTGAGAGAGAGGAAACGCTGGAGGGATGGGAGGTAGAGAGGCCATAGGTTCAGATCTGACCAGGTTCTCAGCCCAGGCAAGATCAAGGCTGTGATAGAAAGCAACTCTGGATCAGCTCAGTTTGCAGGGCAAGCCTCAAACTCTCTGGGGTTTCCCTGGAGGTTGCTGAGGGAACATGGGAATGTGGAATGTAGCTATTATTCTGTGCAAACATTAGGTACTCGATAAGCTTCCAAAGAATTAGCAAGTTTATGAAGACCAGGGATCAGAAGAATGTGGACAAAAGGTCAGCATTCCAGACAAGGCAGGGTGGAGTTTTCATTGAATCAGCCTCCTTCAACCAACTCAAAGGCTCCAAAGAAGTCTTGGATCTTTACCCTGTATCAGCCAAGGCTTTGGAGTCACTGACAGGAATCAGAGTGTGTAACTGCTTTCAGGGCAGAAGAATAATTGAGAAGGATGCTGTTGTGGAATGTCCAGACATTTCCAGTTCCTTCTTCAAACTACAGGTCTGTACTTATGGATGAAATGATAAAATGTCTAGGATTTGCTTCAATGAATGGAAGTGGGTAGGGGTATAGATAATCATAAATGGCCATAAGATACTAGTTGTTGAAGCCGTTGTACTATTCTCTGTACTTTTGTGTATGTTGGGAAATTATATAATGAAAGCTAAAGAACAAATGAGCAGCTCAAGCTTATCTTCTCCACGATACCTGCCCAGTTCCACTCCCTGGGAGCAGTCAACACTCCTTTCTCCAAGTAGTTGCTGTACTTTGAACCATGGCTCTGTCAGGAAACTCATTGTAATGGATTTATTTTATGGTTTATCTTGGCGTCCAGGTACCTATCACAGTGCCTGGCACATAGTAGTGCTCAGTGACTGTTTGATGGATGGAGGGATTAAAACAACTGACTACCAGCCACTTAACAAATGTTTTCTGAATTGTGTTCTCTGTTCTTAGTTAATTTCAGTTGGTCTTTTTTCCTCAACTGGGCTGTTGTTGAGGTCAAAAATGATATATATAACGGGCAGTTCTCTGCACAATGTTAAGTATTTGCTAAATACTTATTGATCAAATGCTTGGAATGCTGGTCTATTCTTCAGATGTCAGATGTTCAAAACAAACAGCTCAAATAACAGAATCACAATGAGGTAACCACTTCCCAGAATGGGAGTGTTGCCTTAGTTGAAGTATCTGGAGGTGAGTGGGGATTAGTCAGGCAGGCTCTTCCTGGTAGAGGTGAACCTTCTCTGTTGTTTTGACAGGAGGGAATGGGATGGCCTGGGCAAAGGGTCAGAGACACACCAGCGTCAGTCGGGGGAAAGGTAGTTGCTGGCTTGAGTGGGTCACCTGTGTAACAGGCAGCTAATCAACAGAAGACCTTATATACACTTTCACTACCACTCCCACTGTTTCTAGTACTCCCACCACCTGCATCTGTTTGTTGCACTCTTTTTCTTCAAAACCCATCTCAAGCATGACCTTCAGGAAACCTCCAACCAGCTCTCCAGGACAAAAGAGGTCAGCCACCTGTGCTGTCGTGCTATGCCATGTTCATGCTTTCTGTGCTGCACTTATCACACTGCACTGTAATTTACTGGTTTATAATTCTGTTCCCTTATTGGATTGGGAACTTATATTTATCCACATTCCCAGAAATTCCCATGGTACCTGGCACTTAGTAGGAGCCCCTGGAATGCTTTGCACAATTAGAACAGCTGTGGCAGGTCAGGTAAATGAACACAGCAGGCAGGGTGTAAGACAATAGGGGAATGTGGGGATTATGGGGAGCTGAAGAACACGCACCCTGTCTAAAGTGGGCAGCTGCCCCTCAGCTCCAGCTGATTGTTCCATTGGGATAAGGACCCAGTGGTGCCAGATCTAACCACTTTTCAAGAATTCTGAAAACTCAGATATATATGGTGAATGTCTTAGTTTTTCAATATTAGCAACTAATTCCATTTGGGGGAAAATGCAGCATGGATCAAATAAAACATGTCTGCAGACAGGATCTGGCTTTAATTCTTCTTAACAGGTCATCCAAAAACCATTTCAGTTTACAAAGAAGGGCATTAACAATCAAAAAGATGCTAGATCTGAATAAAAAATCTGTTGGCTTGAACACAGGGTGCCCCAGGAAAACTCATCCTGGTGCTTTGGGAAAGGGAGGGGGACACAGGTGTGGGAGGAAGGATTTGGGTGGCAGAGCCTACCCTCCCCACTGCTGCAGGAGCCACCCCTGGTTGGGCCATGTACTGTTTTGCAGCCTTTCCCAATATTGCTCAAACTGAGCTTCCCTTGATAGATTTCTGCCCATGAGAACAGTGTATTGAGTGTTACTGTTTTGCTGCGTTCCATAGATATCTGACATCAACTGTAGTTGTGAAACATGTAATCTAAGAGATCAGATATTGCCCTAGCAGTTTCAGTTTCTGCTGGTTTAGAGGCTAAACAACACTCAGAGAAAGGATTTCTTTCTTTTTTTTAATTTTAAGTGCTTTCTTTTGATGTTCATGAAGGATGTTCACAAAATACAGTAGTCATTCATTCAGCATACGTTTATTAAGCACCTGCTGTTATGATGTGTGCTAAGGATATGATGCTGGTGAAATAGACCTGGTTATCTCAGTGATATCATTGTAGAGGCTTTTTACTTTCTTGTTTTTGTTTGTCTCTATTGTTTATATTTTCTGCACTGAGCATGTGTCATTCTTACAGTCAGAAAAGAACAAGAAAGCAATTTCCATTTGCAAAAAAAAAAAAACTTTCTATGGTTTTGAAAAATGAGCCCTCAAGAGAAGAATCACCTTGGGATTAGGAGTTCTATTTTGTAAATAAGTGTTAAAAAGAGAGGCTAATGAGAGTCTAGTAAAGAGAGATAATGTAAAAAAAATTAATAGTTGGAAAGCCCTTTAGAAAGCATCGAACCCAACAGACTCATTTTATTGATGAGGAAACTGAAGTAGACACGAGCAAAGGACTCAGCCAAAGTCATACATGTGACTGGTCAGGCAGAGCAAGGACGTAGCCCTAGATCTGCCTGCCGCCTTCCAGCCCTGTAAACTTTTCCATGACACCGTGTTGACTCTTCGTAAACGTTAATTTGGTTGAGGCAGTCTCTCCTGATTCATTTTAAGGCAGTCTTCAGCTATTTTTTGGGTAAATCTGTCATTTGTCCAAATCTAAATTTAGCTCTTTTCTTTTGGAAAATGTAAGCTCTTCCAAATTGCTGACTCAGAGAACATCTTAGTATTTATAATGCTTGAGAGTTGACTCTTTATATTTATACAGTACCCAGAGAAGTGTGAGTTAATTGAGTCATAATGAAGGTCCATGAAAGCAGCCGCTGTTTCTATCCAGATCCATGCTGTGTCCCTCGGCACCAGCCCAGTACCTGACACACAGTATGTCCTCAGTAAATATGTGCTGAATGAATAAATGTTGATGGATAGGGAGAACTGAGATTATTTCAGATGTTGTTTTCCATAATTCTTGACAGAAACTTAGGCTCATTCATGGCTTCTGTCTCTCACCCTTCATCCAATGCACCAGCAAATCCTGCATCTCTTCCTGCAGATGATCTCCTGACTCCAGCTCCTTCTCACATCCTCCACCATTGCCACTCTAGCCCATCCAACATGCAGCTTCATGCAGACTCCTGCAAGAGTCTCCTAACTGCTGTCCCTGCTTTTCCTATTGCTTCCCCCTGCCCCTGCTTTAAAAAAAAAAAAAAAAGTCATGTCCTTCCCAAAACCTCAAAATGTGACCTTATTTGGAAATAGGGTCTTTGCAGAGGTAGGTATTAAAGTGAAGTCATACTGGCGTAGGGTGGGCCCTAAATCCAGTATGACTGGTGTTCTTATAAAAAAGGAAGAGACACAGGGAGAATGGAGGTGAAGATTGGAGTGATGCATCTACAAGCTAAGGAACACCAAGGATTGCCAGCAACAACAGAAGCTAAGAGGAAGCCATGGAACAGATTCTCTCCTAGAGCCTTCAAAGACAGCATGGCCATACTGACACTTGAATTCAAACTTCTAGCCTCCAGAACTTTGAGCGAATATATTCATGTTGTTTTAAGCCACCCAGTTTGTTGTAATTTGTTATGTCAGCCCTAGGAAACTAATACATCCCTTAC